TTTATTTATTTAAGTGTAAACTTCGTACTTATGCAAATTTTCATGAATCATATAAAATGTTTAGGTAAACATATTTATAGTCTCTAAAATTCACAAAAGCAGGCAATAGGGGAATGTATACGTTTAAAAATTAATTAACAACTAAATACAAGTGGAAGAGTATGTATTGATGACTATATGATATAAACATGAATCACTACACCATGAAACTTAAATCTCGAATGAGATTAAAATACGAATTTAAAGCGTTAAATTTATCCAAAGAATATTATCGTTCGTCATCGAATCCATCGTAATAATAATATTTAAGTACTTTTTTATTGAGCGATCGCTGCGAAATCTCTGCCAAATATTCAAAAGCAATGACTTATTACGCAAACTTTCCTTCAGGCAGTATTGCTGAGAAGAAATATTTATGTAGGTAAGTAGTAACCACATAATTTTCTCCAACAGTCGTACTATCTAGTTAACAATTCATTCACATTTGATGATGCACGAAGGAAATTGTAGGTGCCACATATATTATGTATGCAATATCCCACAACAAGCACATATAGTTGCAGCAGGTGTCAGTGCATCAATTTCAGTAATCGATTACTCGAAATTTCAAGCCATTGCAGATTTCCAAAAAAATTCCGACTTCGGGGATTCAAATAATGTCGTATCTCGTAACCTTTTTAATTACTTTAATTTTCATACATTAAGATTACATTAAGATTTTGATTCTAATTGTCGTTGCAACTCTCACGCTATACTGTTCTGCCCAACTTTAATTAGCATTCAAAATATTGCACATTTTTCTTCTTCTTATCTTCTGAATATTGAAAGTATTTTCCAATGATCGCAGCCGCTATTTTTAGCTGCCGTAAAACAGCTCAATTATCCAGAAGAAAAGGGGACTTCAGTTTCTTTACTTTCATCGTGAAGAAGGGGCATGAACGAGTCGTATAAGTTGCCGAAAAGCGCTGTTTCGCATGCGACGGCGACGACGACGACGTCGGCTCGAGCTGCAACTGCGATCCATACAATGTCCCGATCCCGGCAATTATTATTGTCGAGCTTTCTGCCACGCGATTCTACGATAAACTTGGCTCCCCGAAAATATCCCTTCGTGTCTTCGGCGGACAACTTAATTCCCAACGTCGCTAACGCTGTCTTAATAAACGCGAGCGAGAACAAAATAAAGAAGAAAAAAGTAGGTCGAACTTGCACCAACGGAATAACGAATAAAGCTCTCGCTTCCGTGCGTTCCGCAAAACCTTGAAACTAAAAAAATGGAATGCCGAGCTAGCGATAAAACTACGCGGGAGAGAGAGAGAGAGAGAGAGAGAGAGAGAGAGAGAGAGGGAGGGACGTACTAATTTATCCTGCGTGACGACCAGTTTAAAGTATAAATTACGTATAGGCGGTGACAAGCGGCGCGCGCTCGCATAATTATTGTCTCTCTCTCTCTCTCTCTCTCTCTCTCTCTCTCTCTCTCTCTCGCTCTTGCGTGCGCAACCCGTTTCTATCCGGGACGACGCGCGGCTTCTATAATGCAAGATGTAGACGTTGATAACGGAGGGTAGTTCTATACTTTTCTACCCGTTTTTTCGAGAGAGAAAGAGAGAGAGAGAGAGTGTGGTAGCAGGTGTCCATTAGTTATTCTATCTTATGGGCTTCGTTTTTTCAATAATTGGATCTGCAGGCTGATTTATGGCTCTCGAGCGCCTTGAAAAACCTTCAACTTGTATACGAGAATATAACTTATACGTACGGGGCTTTCATTATATTTTATATATGATTTTACTTCTTCTTCCTCCGTTCTCTCGTTTTTTTCCATAAAATACACGATTTTCAAGAATAATTATAAATATATATGTATATAATGCCACGCTTCCTATCTGATGTCTCATGCGTCGAGAAGGTATACGCGATATGAATTATGCGTGTCACATAAATTGTCATTGATAAATTACGTAAAGACTCGTGATTCGTGTAATATTGAGTTTGCGTCTACTGCACGTTAATCATTCAATTAACGCGTATAGCTTTTTTACTTTCGAGCGGCGTTACACAAAAATTACGCGAGCGCTTGATCGACCGACGTCATACATTGAACCTACGCAATACGCTGGTAACTGTATTATTGTATCTTTTTTATGAATAAAACGTGACGCGTCTGGTGCAGTTAAGCGCCGAGTAATTTAATTGTTTTGCTTCTGAGTTACGATCACCCATCGTATAATTGCATAATTCTTCGTAACGGAAAGAGGAATCAGAGAAAGCCGAAAAATAGCCCACACCCGCGGCAGCAAAGAGCACGCAAACAGAACGAGAACGCAAAGAAAAAAGTTCAGCCGTAACAATTTCGTCAGCGAGTCACATCGGGAAAAAAAAAATAAATAAGAAGCAGAAGAAGGGGAAGGAAAGGAAAGAACAAACTCGCGACAGGGCTGATTATCCTTGGCGTATATAGATAGTCGCGTGCGCGAAGAGGTTGTCTTCTCATAAATTATGTCAGAAGTCAGAAGGGAAGAAGAAATCGCGACGCGTCGGTTGTTAGCGCCGTCTCCGGAAACCGGATCGGTTTCTGTTTTTGTCTTTTTTTTCTCGGTCGCTTTTGTGTCGCGCACACGCAAATTCGACGTTAAAATAACCCTCAACCCCCTCCCCCAGCCCACCTGCCACCCACCTACCCTTCTCGTCCGCAATCGTTTATAATTTTGCCGTACAAGTGGCACGCGATCTTCCCCCTCTAGCGTAACGCAACGATTGTGTCGCGTCGTCTTCTTCCGATCGATCCGGAGGTCCTTTCTTTGTCGTTGGTTTTTCGCGCGAGATTTGTCGGTCCGCCTTTTGACAAAAACTATTTGACGCAATTGGTTCTTCGTATCTTTTAGTTTTCTGCCCAACTAACGTGCGATCGACGTTAATAAGGAACACACCAGCTCGACTCGTAAGCGTTAAGAGAACGTCGAGTACAATAGTGTTGCGAGCATGCGAGTTAACTAATTTTATCAGCCTCGAATCAGATAACAACTTAAATGGGAGTTAATGACTGTCTTGTGTATAATTTTTATTACGCCGCGGCAATTACTTAGTTGTAATTGGGCTTTTTATGATAAGACAAATTAAACTTGTAATACGTGCTTTACCGTGGCATGAGTTTCCAGCCAACAGTTAGATTCGAAGGCAATTTCTCGTGTAATTGCAGGGTCGAATGGTCAGCCAAGTCAATTTCCTGAAAAGCGTTGACAATATTCTTGCCGCTCGTCATGTCTCGGCGCAAGATTAGAAAGATCTTGTGGAAAGATCTCGCGCGGCGAAAGCCGCGCCACCCCCTTCGAGCGCAACCGCAGAAAACAGAAGAGTACGGCCAGGGAGGGGGAGGGGCGATGAATCATCAGCGGCGCCTTATCAAAAAGGAAAAGAAGCGGCGAAGAAGGAAGCAAACGGATAGCAGCGGCAAGCCGCAGTGGCGGCGATACGACTGTCCGGCGACGCGCGATTAACGGCTGCACCACGGCTCGTTTCCCCGATTAATGCCTTGGATAAGGCGCCAAAAGATCTTACTTGCCAGTTGGGGTTACGGAGAAAGGCCCATCCCAAAAATTACTCACGGCTCTGTCACGCTTCGCCAAGTGGCGTTACGCCGCCACTGCCGCTCTATGCAAGAGATACTTTGTCGTCGTTCAGCGGGAGATACACACACGTATATATTATCCCCCACGTAGCTCGTGTTGTGGGAACATATAGGATTTCCGAAATTACTTCAACTTATTGCTGTCATATAGATTGCGTATTTATGACGCCCATGGCGAAGCCATTAATTTCAGATTTTATTTTCTGATATACAGCAATAGGTATATACATACATATATATATATATATATATTATTTTTTATTTATTTATTTATTTATTTATTTATTCGATGCACGTCATTTCTCGAGACTGTAGGTGTTGAATTTCCTATCAGCGCAAGAAACAAAAAGGTTTTCACTTGAAATCTACAGACGGATCTCTCATTCTTAGTAAAAAGAAATAAAGAACGATTGTTCGTTCTGATTTACGTGCTCAAATTGTAATGATAATACTATTAATTTGCATTAATCATATTCTAAACATACCGAGGTCTGGTATAACATGTAAATATTATGAATGCACTACTCAAGGGAAATATACGATCTAACACTTACCTTTTACTGAATTAAAAATATCTCACGGCGGTAGTTATAAAAGCGCAAGCTAAAATATTAATTTTAAATTAGCCTACACAATTAAGTTTTTTATCAAACCATGTATTATTCAGGTTGAACAGAGAACCCTTTTTTAGTCAATAAAAAAGTAGTCCAATTCTCTTTAAACGTAAAATATCAACGCTATATGAAATCTATTCTAATGAAGGAATTAAAGCTAAACTATAAAATGAGCAATAATGGCGGAAATAAAAAAGAAAAAATGACTCGATTAACTAGGCGTAAAAGTCAAAGCGTCCATAAAAATCCGAAATAATGTCAAAAGATAACGCGTCAATCATCCGCGCTCGTAAAAGAGACATTGATATAGATAAATCGCCGAGCGCGGATCAATTCTCGGCTGGTGAACAGGCAAAGAGAAAAAAAAAAGCGCAGCGTCGTCGCGTGATTAATCCGTACGAACGAGCGGGTGGCTTTTTAATTTCGGCAGTTCGCGCTGGAGATGGAGCGGCCAAGTGAGCAGCTAACGGCCACTCGTCACGAGAGAATCGCGAAAACGAACACGAGAGGACGAGAGAAACCGGAAAACAATGGAGTATGTGGCTATACGTTCGGTTCGCTTTATTAGCTATTGCAAACGAGATGTGCCGCGTGGTGACATGCAGCTGACAATTGAAATTTTTAATCTGTTTTTGTTGCTTGGACGTATTTTCAATTTAATAGAATTTCGAATATTTTAGCTTGTATCAAAATATTGACATTGTAGGCATTAATTTTTGATGAAATTAATTTAGTCGTATTTTTGAAAAATTCAAACATACCTTGGAAATGTGTTTGCCAAGCTAATGCAGCACACAATAAAGCCAAAGTTTTTCCACTACCAGTTGGACTTTCTAGCAAACAATGTTCCTGCTTTGCGCAGCCTTTAATAACCTGTATTATAATTATTGTTCCATTTAAAAATATGTTCTCAAATTCATTGCCTAATTCTACAAACTATTAAGCCATATTAATTTTTAAAATTATACTTACAGCGTTCATTACAGAAATTTGACTTTTGTAAGGTGATATAGGAAATTTCACAGGGACTCCAGCAATAACAGGAGGCATACCAGCAGGCAAAGGAACATCTTTGCACTTAGGTCTGAAAACCCTGGGAACAGACTTGGGTATTGTCTGAACATATTTTTGTATAAGACCGTCAATTTTGGATTGGTCAAATGACTGTTTATCCGATTCCAATATAGGATTATTTAGACTATCATCGCTAATGCCTGGCTCACTTTCATCGTCTGTTATTTCTATGTTCTCTACTTCTTTTATTGGAATCACTTCTATCCTCTCTGGTTTTGACTGTACTTTAACTTCTTCAACAAAAGCACTTGATGAAGGTTTATTAATCCAACGAAATAGTCCTCCCTTAAATGTTAAAACAAAAATATCACTTTTAATAATAATTAGTCACAAATAACAACAGTGAAATACAGGCAGTGAAATAGCATCTACTTGAATTTATAAAAATTATACTCACAGCATTAAGTGATTTTTTTTTAACATTGATCTTGGAAGGAGTTGCTAGTGAAATACTGTCTAGTGATAACTTTTTAGCAGGACTTTCTTCTGCTGCAGCATCGTTCATTGTTAAGTCGATTATGCCATATTCATTTTCCATATCCTTTCTCTGTCGTTTCTCACATTTATGAATTAGTGTACTCTGTAAGGGAGTCTGCCTCTTCCATCGAGTTACTCCTTTTGAAGAGGATGAGTTTTCTGTTTTTTTTTGCCAATGTTTATGAGCAGCTCCTGGATCACAGAACTCATCATCACTCATATTGACTTTCTTTGATGACTGATGGCTGAGAAATAATTATAAATTTGCTTACTGCACTTAAATTTTGAAAATATGATTCAACAAACAGTGGAGGAAACTTGTAATATGAACAAATACTATTAAATTGAACAGAATAAAAAAAGGAATGCTATAGTTACATACGAACACGAAGGACAATATTTGAATTACCTACGAAAACTACTGAGACACCTGTCATATACTGATACAAAACGAGCAACCAATTATCTACACTAAAAATACTGCAGACAGTAATGTTTTGTTTTATCTTTCTCGGAAATAAACGTTGTCACTCGGTTTAATAAGCGGGACCAGGAAGCCCGCTATATTTACAAATTAAGTCTGAACCTGCATTCTTTAAAGCCTTAACCTCAAAACATTCCATAAAATTCTTGACAATTTACTATCGCTTACGAGTCGAGTTTTCTCTTCAAGTAATTTCGGACATAATAACTGCACACGAATAACAGTCCGAAACAATAAACAAGTAGCATCACGTTAACAAAATGTTATTACCGCCACTGCGGAAAAAACAAAACAACGTGACTGATCGGCGCGCGTTTTTCTTGCGCGTGCGCTCTTCCATAAAACTTCCAGTATGCTGCACACCCGCCAATTTAAAAGGATGCAGAAATGACGAAAATAGTTTCGAAGATGTTTCATTTTTATTTCTAAATTAGAATATATTAGAATACATCAGAAATGTAAAAGTATTTGAAAGATTGCGATAATTATACGTTAAATGATTTTCTTAATTTTATTCAATTTCAATTGTCATTCATTTTACTCCTTTAATTTCAATTACTTTCCATAAATATTTTCCATGTAGAAACATAGTTAAATTAGTATAATTACGAAGATGTCCTCTTGACCGTGAAACTGTTTGGCTTTTATTTACTTCGGCTTTACACTGTTCCATAATGTAGACTCAATAACAAGTACGTTATAATAATATGATACGATAATACATAATTTTGTGTGTGCATCGATTTTTCTTTGCTTATATGTAACGAAGTCTGTAACGAAGTCTGAACTTTACAGCAATAACAGAGCTTTGATGGCATAAAACAAGCGGTATAACTAATTTATCGTCAGAAACGATAGGGACAAAGCAGGTAAATGACCGCGACCGAATGTCAAACTGACAAAATCTTGCGCGACAAGCTACTTGACGTAGTAAAGTCGACGCGGACCGCGGGATATCCAGGCCATGGAACAATCCACGTAGACCGAAGTAAATTACTGCGGCGAAAAACACTGGTAGAAAGCCAAATCCATTTTAATTAGGCGGCTTTTTGCGAGGCGCACGTGTGCATAGGAGAAGACATTAATCGCGTATGCGCCGCTACGCTTCGTCCTTCCAAGAATAAATTATGCGCGCATCTTGGATTTCGACTGTACGTATGCATGTGCAGCAGCGTCTATACTCGGGTCTTTGTACGAGAGAAGAGAGATATCGCGTCTCTCTCGTCGCCATCGCCCGCCGCATCAAAAGGATTAACCGCTCAGATATGAATGTACACGCGCGACTGCGTGCGAAATCTGCGCGAGACGCTCGCGTGAGAAATTTGTCGCGCGGAGAGGGTAAGCGCTCGCATCTTCGTGGAGCTCCCTGAATATGACGAACTACGCCGATCCATCGGATCATTGCTGCGCTGGTATTTTTAGCGCAGCCAACTAGATTATCATTGGATCGTATGATTTCGTGATCGAGCGAATTCGATGAACACGTCTTCAGAACGATCTGTTCGGAAGGGCAGCTCGACTTTATGGACGTTTATTTTGCATAAGAGCGTGTTAATTACGTACCAACGGCAAAAGTTACGGCACTTATTTGTTTCTTTTTTTTTTTTTTTTTTTTTTTTCGATACAGAAAATTGAGATGCGTCTCGGCTTTTGAACTGGCAAAAATAAATCTGATGTAGAACAGTTCGTATATCGCAATCGTCGTTCGATCTCTGATTCCAAGCAACCCTCGCCGAATCGAATCACCATAAGCCAAAAAAGCCTCGGAAAGGCAGACGCATCGCAGCAAAATGATTAGCCCCGTCGAGGAAAAAAGAACCAACAGCAACGATCCACCCCCGCTTCCTAATCCCAGGCACGCGGTCCACCGAGAGAAAACTAAACCTGCGCTCGGGCGTGCACGAAATATGAAGGCGGCGCTGTGCGCGCAGAGAGAGATAAAAGCCGCACAAATGCGCGAGGAATACGAAATGTCCGAGCTGTATCTGCGGGAAATCTATCTCGCGCGGCGGCGAGGAGGGCAGGACGAAAAAGAAGCAGCACTTTCGCATTGCACGGAAGCGTCAAGCAGCGTGTCGTCGGTTTGTTTGTCATTCACCGCCGCCGCCGCCGCCGCCGCCAGCTACCTTATATATCCGTCGTGTAAGAGGATGTTTATTACTTCGATAAATTTGCCGAAGAGCCAGATTCGTCCTTTTTTGCCAAGGTGGGACGAGTTTGCAGTTTGTAATTTATATTGTAGCTCTTTGCAGTCAGGCTGACGGTTATTAATACAGATCGTAGAAGGGGACAACGCTGAGCTTCTTCTTCGTTTTTAGCGAGCTTGGCAAAAAGTGCCTTCGTAATTTCAGCGGACGATCGCGGCGCTTCGCCGGATACGAGAGTCTGATCTGCATCGGCTTTGCGCGACGAACTCGAGGGATGTGGTTGTTGAAAACTAGTCGGCATCCTTTATCGGGTGGACTTTTGAAAACGCCAGCCGGATGATCGAGCCAGCGCCCGTGGCCGGAGCCAAAGAAGGAACAAAACAAATACGAAATGAATTGGTATCAGCCGGCAAAGATTTACAGCGACATAAATGGGCGAAGCGTGATAAACGCTTTTCGGCGCTCTATCTGGTCGCGCGAGCGGTTCGATGATTGAGCCGCGCTTTAATTAAGGCGTGGCCAATAAGTGGATCGGCCGTCGAATTTCGGGATTGTCTCGGGAGAGCGAGATGAGATAAGATAAGCGACACACACGACACCCGGGCTTCGGCATATAATACACTTGGCACGCCGCGACCATGTGCGTCGGCACTGCCCTTATCGCGCCTCGTCTCCGTCTGTCTCCGGCAGAGGAGATGCTCCGCTGTGCGCTCGACGAGCAGGAAAGGTTTTTCAAGTAAAACAAAAGAATGATGCTGGCACGGCGACAAGATATTGTCCGCGCGCGTTCCGTCGGGATCTCGAGGATCGTTCGGCAACTCGGATTGCACCCGACTGCAATACCGCCTGTTTATTCAACTTTGGATCCCCGCAGACCGAGGCTGCGTGATGAAAAGACCAGCGCGAATGATAAAGCAATTAGGACCACCCCATCAAAATGTAAAACACTGTGCCGTAGCTTATTAAGGGATGATCGTGGTAATGCTGCAGGGGATACATTCAATAAAAATAGGCACGTGGCTTTTGCTCTCTAGCTCCGGGGGACAATAGTTTTGCCGCCGAAGGAAGAAAGTCCGAAGGGTCGAGTCTGAGAGAGAGAGAGAGAGAGCGCGCGGGACATCGATCAGCAGAGAGCGGGAGGCGATCGCGCTCTCTGGAATTAGCCGTCCCTTGCAGCGAGAGAGAGAAAGAGACGCCCGAGAAACTGCTGTACAAAGTGTATTGGACTGTGCGCGAGAGTCTTTTTCGACGAAGACGCTCGATCCTACTCGAGAGAGCTCCCAGACACGCCAAATAGTTTGCCATCCGAGTGGATTCTCCTCGGACGACGAACTCTTCGAGCTTTGGCCTCCGACTTGGAAAATCGCTAAGGGGCGATAGTTTTCGGTGGCGACGCGCTGCCCAGCGTATTTATGATGGGGACTTTTCCGAATTACAAGTTTCGAAGAGCGATCGTCCCTCTTGGAAGAGGCCGCGAAGAGACATTCTCGACCCGCCGAGCGACGAGGAGAATTAGAAAAGAATCAGCTCGGACCTTCGGCCGCGCTGGCGTTTCGAGGGCACGGAGCGCGCGCGTGTACAAAAAACCGGCGAATACCTATGCGCGAAGCCTTCAGCATTTGCTTTTTTTGTTTGTTTGTTTTCTTTTTTTCTTCTCGGCGAGAGCGCCTCGTGGGAATCTCATTGAATGCGGCATATCGCGGCGGCAGTGGCAGCAGCGACGGCGGCGACGGCGGCGGCGGCGGCGGCGGCGGCGGCGGCGGCGATATGCCCAATACGCGCCGAAAGGGCGCCTGCGTTATACGCTAAGTAGGCACTTTGAGGGAGAACGCACGCGCCGCGAGAGGCTGCCGCAGCTGAAAGGATGCCACGGAAACCTTTAAAAGCGGAGCCGCTGCGCGACTGCTTGGGAGGAACCGGGGGAAGGGGTTGGGTTGAGGTGTGCTGTTTGGGAAAGCCGATTGTTTTTTTTCTTGCTTTGGAGATTATTGTGCCGTTGGAGTGAAGACGCGAATTGACCGAACTATTTTTTTCGATGGATGCAAAAGCTATCGTAGTACATCGACGCGACTGCATCACAATTTCATTGAAACAGCCTCGACTGACATCACGAAATAAAAAAGTCTTTTTTACAAAGAGAGGCGCAAAGGACGTAAGAGCGGCAGAAACTGTAGCGAAAGCTATCAGAGAGAGAGAGAGAGAGAGAGAGAGAGAGAGAGAGAGAGAGAGAGCGGAGCTGCAATTAAAGAAAAGTACACGATGATATATTACGTATACAAGGCTATAGGTGGTATGTGCGTGCATGTGTGTGACAGAGTATACAACAACTCCCCCCGTCCCGAAGAGAAGCTAAAGGGATCGATGACAACTCACGGTGACGACGGCGACCGAGTGGAACCGACGAAAATGTCATCGAGCTAACACGGCCAGAGGAAAAGAAAACACAAGTAGTACTTGCGTGTGCGCGAGTAGCGCTCGAGTGTTGTAAGTCGATCGGGCGCGCAGTCGCATAGGCGCGGACACATTGGAAGACAAACGCAGAGAGCTACTTTGTACTTGGCTCGCGGGTACTAGATACACACTTTCAAACGTATGCACGCGCGCGTATAACTTTGATGAGCGCTTACTTGTTGACTCGGCTGTGCATTATAAACTTTGTTGTTTAATTTGACGCGCGTCCGCAGCCGCGGCAGAGCTTTCAGTACAGTGGGACGCTTCCACTCAATAATGCACGCCGTCGTGGGGGCTATTGTATTACATTCGAAAAGGGGACTCGCGCCGCTGCCTCGCTCATGTATTTTGCGTTTTATTAAATCACGCGTGCGAAACTACGAGCTGATTCATTAATCGCGCGCGCTTTTCCTTTGTGTCCCGCGAGCAATTACGCCGGAGATCGATGTAACGCGAGCGAAAAGCGAAAAAAAAGAATCGTCGGCCGGCCTTCAATGGCACGCGTTCGACGAGCCTCGAAATCGTTCTTTCCGCGTGCGTCCCACTGGCCTCCGGCGCGACGAGCGGTGCCCGGAACAGCGCCAGAAGAAAAAAAAAATGAATGATGATTTGCAGCGTCGGCCCGAGTCGAAAAGGATTAGTTTTTCCCCAGAATTCCGGCGAGTTTTTCGCGCGGGGAGCGCGCACACGCGTCTGGAAGTTATTAGGCGTC